TAACAAAAACATAAAATTACTCTAGTTAGTCAGAGAAACGAAAAAAAAAGAAAATAAAATGAGGGTGCTTATAAATTGTATTAAAAATGAAAACAGTTCGCCCTTCATGATATCTATATTTTGAAAAGCATAATATATATTTTACCGCGTTCTCTCAGATCCCAGCACCTCCACCATGTCGCGAAGACCTTTCATTCCATCGCGAATTGGTTATTGCCCGAGTTCGAATTCGGTATTCTTTATGCGATTGACCTACATGAAGGACACATATATGTCCTTACATTCTGTATTAGTGAATATCTGTTACCAGATATCTCTTTGTCGGGACCTCTTGTCCCTGAAGAGCCTCCAACCACCCCTTATAGCTCTCCCGTAGCCTCCACATCTAGGTAACGTTTCAACAATATGAAATGCAGTGATATATTATAATATATATAACACTTACCAATTTCTCCTTGCCAAGACGCAACAGCAACTCTTGCTAGAGAGTAGTGTCTCCGTCGAACCACAACTTCCAACTGACTCTTAAGTCGACACTAACATTTAAGTCACTTCCCCTCTCTCAACCAGTGTTGCCCTCTTAGCAACATTAATTCTACCCATATTTAAATCGCGTTCGCGACACCACTCACGCTCATATTGCCAGTCCTTTGACACGCGCCCATAATACCCATCATGCCGTACATCGTGCTCCCCCGTGTGGCCACAAGACCACACTACGACTCTGCCTCCTTTCCTCCCTACTTCCCATGCCACTCGACGAGTGTGTGCGGGGGGGGGGGGTAGGGTGTATATGAACAAATGAAACACATTTCTGAGCTATACAAATTTTTATCTATGAATAGTAAATTCGTCTCTTTTATAGTAAAACATAATACCGTTATACGCCTACATACTTATATTTTAACAATCTACATCATAAACAAAATATATGATAAGTAAATTATAATTACAAAAATCTAACAAAGACGGAATGATCAACAAACATAATGAATAAATCGAAGGTAAATCAGAAATAATTAAAAAAAAAACTAAACATAATAGGAGGAAAACATATTTTATGATCTACATCAGCTCGTGTATAATAGTCCACTACTGGACAAAGGCCTCTCCCATTATGGAGATTATTATTCTTTATTGTCAAATAATTCATATAAAATAGATTATTAACGGGCTTCAGAAAACATTCTTTTCATAACCCAAAACTAGCCCTACTTTATACACACTTAAACACTGAATACTTTTTCAAATTAACGCAGTAATTTTTATTTATTGTAACCGAAAAGATGTTTGTCTGTTCGATGTAATAATTTTGTTATGCACATCATACATATTATACAGCTCTTTCTGAATCAACTGATAAGTGATAACATAACCACCCCTCCCTCCCCCCGTAGTTTGCTCCAAACACGGTCTTAACCTCCTGCATTTAAAACATGTGTCATTATGTCCTTACTGGATCTACGGGGGGCGCACTTGTTACTTGTCGATTGGCGGCAACCTTTTTTTTAACTTCTTTGGACACATACTATCAAATAATTAAAATTTTAAACTAGAAATTTTGTAAGCGAATCATTATTACCCACGGTTATACCGCCATCTGATCTCTCTGTCGGAAGCCTTTATGCCCAAATCTCCTTTTATATACACCCACGGAACGAAATGTGGTAATGGTTTCACTTACACCGCCACCACATGGCCAGAATTGGTATTTGTATCGTCAGAAGCAGATTAAAATGTCGACAGCGCCCTAGCCTAGCACCACATCGGCGCCCGTCTAGCGGCCATATGTATCTATAGATATAGAAGAGTGTCGCCAGTTGATTGCCCAGGATGGGCGAGCAAGTTGATATAAACTATAGAGGATGGGAAAGTGTAGTCGCAAGAGCACATGATGCTTTACATTTCTATTGCGAATCTTACTTCTACGGCGATTGTGATAAGAACGGTACAAATTCCAGTGTATAATGCAATGCAACAATAGTAACTATATTTTAATCACACATGATTTCATATGCTTATAACCGCTCACCCTGTTAATTATGTTGGTTATGTAACTCAGTTACAATTAAATATTTTAAATTTGGTGACGTAGCAAGAGGAGCCGCAGGCATAGCCCTGGGCGCCAGATTTTAGGGGACGGAATTTCGGCAATGAGGGTCAGCTTTATCTTCTGCCACTTGCCAGTAAAAATTAAGAAAAATACTTTGACTTACTGAATACTTTTTTTCATAAAATTACGATTTACGAACGCTGTATATCAATGCAAGTTTTGAAAGATTATAAGTATAAAATCTTTCTTTTTATTTTATTCAATATACAGAGTGCTTCAAAAAAATGTATACACACTTTAAACTATTGTAGTTTTTCCGCTCTACAAGGCTAATGTTATATTTCTTCGCCAGGTGCCAGCATAATAGTCCCTCTATGTTATATTATCAGTTGGAATTTGTAATATCAACATGGGGGACGTACGTTTGAGTTTTGAAGAACGTAAGCAGGTTATTACGTGATACGGGATACGTGAACCGGGATTTATGGGTAGCATCATTTGGTCGGATGAAGCCCAATTCAAACTTAATGGAACTGTCAATAGGCACAATTGTGTTTACTGGGGTGAAGAAAATCCTCACATTACAATTGAAAAAGCTGTAAATTTGCCTGGTATAAATGTGTGGTGCGGTTTGTCTTCAAGGGGACTCATTGGACCTTTTCGATTTGAAGGCACTGTAACTGGTATTAATTACCTAACAATGCTTGCTGATTCCATATTTCCTGCCATTCGTGCATTATACGGTAATGATGATTTTTATTTTCAACAAGATGGTGCTCCGCCGCACTATCACAGGGACGTACGAGCTTACCTGGATCAAAATTTGTCGGGCCAGTGGATAGGACGCAGGGGGCCAATCGAGTTTCCAGCACGCTCTCCAGACCTTACACCACTGGATTTCTTCTTGTGGGGCACAGTAAAAGATGAGGTGTACAAACGTAAACCACGTAACCTAGACATTCTTTGGAATGAGATTCAAGCAGTTTTTAGAGAAATCTCATTGGACTTTTTGATACGATGTACAGAATATGTGGTGACTCGTACTCAGAATTGTATTGATGCTGCAGGTCACCAATTTGAACAGTATTAACATTTGTTATTTATGTTTCATTTACATTGGACTTTCAGCTTTCTATTTTCCTGAAATTTAACTTTGTAGAACGGTAAATAAATTTTCTATGGAAGTTCAAAGTGTGTATACATTTTTTTAAAGCACCCGGTATATATATATATATATATATATATATATATATATATATATATATATATATATATATAATATAGAAAGACTTATAAATAAGTTTTACTGATTATATACCCGGGCAACAGCTACCCGTGTTACGACATTGTTTAAATTTGTGCAAAATAAGACTAAGACTTATTTAATTTTATATTTTTTTATCTTTCACGTCAGAATTCACACTGAAGGATATAATCTTAAACCTAAAATAAATGCGGACAATTGCATGTGCTTTTAGTCTTACAGTCTTCATGTAAAGAGGTATTTATGGTTGATAATATTAATATAAATATGCTTTTTGATATTAACACAGCCATATTTTACAACAATTTATAGTTATGAACTAACTCTAGCGTAGGACTATGTAAACAATCAAATATTTAATACCAAACTATTAATTAATTGTATTTGCATGTAAACAGTTCTTACAAGGGTAGAAAGACATGTACAATTTGAGCACACCGTGCCAATACCCTGTAGAGCTTTCATTTCCATTGCAAACAGCTATTATAAATTTTTTCGAGTAGTATAAAACTAAAAATATTTATTAAGTTTTCCGCGTACTGACTTTAGCAGCTAAGCATGCGCTACAAAACGCTAATATTATTAAACCCTCAAACACACAGAATATATTAGAAAGTACAGAAATATTAATTAACACAACATCACAGCTAAAGTTATTTTTTATATTCGAAAAGTTAACAATTAGATAACATAAAAGTATCAAACAAATATGAGGTGTAGGTTGTGTTTTATTTATCTATTTTTGCAAGTGTCAAAGTATCAAAGGAATTAAAGTACTTAATACCTTTGCAATAAAAGTTTTTTGACCAAAAAAAACTGTAGCTTCTGTATTGTGTTAAAGTTTGGCATTAGCCAACAACTATAATTAGCAAAATAACATTAAGTGCAATAACAACAAACAGATTATACATACAGAATCATTCTCATTTGCAGTGGATTCTCACAAGTATACCTTAAAATAAAACAATAAAGCAGTAATATCCTAAATGACTTATGAAACTACTCAGTGGGCCCGTTTATATCGGAAGCAACTATGATTATTCAGTCGCTTGCAGATTGGGGTTAGCTAACTTAATTTTCTACAATCGTTAACTCTAATAGAAAACTATAAAACGGAATGAAATCAACGTCAAATTACGTAACAGTCATGCAATTTTGCGTCGTGATGCCATTTTTATTGATTTGTTAGTTTTCTATTAGCATTAAAGACTGTAGAAAAATAAACACGGTTTAGCTAACTTAATTTTCTATAATCGTTAACTCTAATAGAAAACTATAAAACGGAATGAAATCAACGTTAAATTACGTAACAGTCATGCGATTTTGCGTTATGATGCCATTTTAATTAATTTGTTTACTTTTCTATTAGCATTAAAGACTGTAGAAGAAAAAAACACGACGACGACGTTTAGTTTTCATCAGTGTGGAATATAAGTTCATGTCTTTTTTAAATTGATATCTTAATTTATCTTAAAAAGTGTAATTACAAAGCATCACTATGAAAAACATAACACAGACAAATAGTAATTCTAACCGGTAGCCGGTTCCTGCAGAGTTACACAATTGTAATGCCGCTGTAAACAAACAAATGAACATGTAACTTATTTCTGAACAGTAAGGATTTACATTTAATAAACAAGCGACTGTATGACTATGATTAAATTACTCTACCACTCGACTAACCGCAACGAAACCGGTGACTTTGGTGACAACAAGAAATCAAACTGAATGTCCAACTCTCCGTCGAATTCAACTCGCCATTGCCGCATTATCTGAATCAAACATAATAAATTATTAATGTACTACAAAAATAGTTTTGTTGGGCACATAACATCTAACTGAATCACCTTACAAATTAACAACGAAAGACAAACCATTTAAGTTTTGTTTGTGTGTATTTACTATTTACGATCGTCACACAAACATCAGACACTAGTGACTCTAAAACGTTTACTCGTTTTACTTGTAGTTTTATTTCGCAACACTAACTTGAATAAAACTAGGAGTTTTTTTTTTATGGTGGGGGGGCTTTTTATTTACTTTTTTTCAAAAATCGGATATATTTCAATAACTTTCAAATGTCATACTTTTGACTAGGTGTTAGGTTTTTTTTCTACCTACGGATCTTTTTGGGTAGGTACCCCCTTATTTATTATTTTCGCACATTTTTGTCGGATTTTTGTCTAGGCTTAGGGTGAGTATAATTACAGATTGTGAGGTATTCTATAGTATTACTTAGAGATCTGCCAACGCATCTGCTTCTTTGTCTGAAGTAGGTTGCAGGCGTCCCTGGGCTGCAGGAGCCCATGCCATCAGGTGGCCTGTAAGTTTGTTTATCACTATAGTTTTATGAAAAATATCAAGTTAAAAACTTTGCGCAACAAAAATCCCTATTTTTTGCATGCCTTAAGTGCAAAGCGCGTAGGTCCAACGTTTTGTCGCATGAAATCGTATCTAACAATTATATTGAACGTATAAATGATATAAAAAGCACATTGTCAGAAAGATAAATGATTATTGAACTTATTATTATTATTTTTAAATCGATTTATTGCTATTTTTACATTAGGAAGTGGTTTTAGTGGCTTATGGTGTAGATTTATCACGTCCGCATGGAGTGGTAGACACTATAACTTTGGAAAATATCAATTGTTCAACTCAATCTGTTTTTTAATCTATTCATCTATTATGTGGGAAGCCATAGAATGTAAATGGATGTTTAATTTTATTTTGTTTAGTTATAATTAATTTGTTTCGGCTGAGAAAATCCGAAATTTTCGGTGTTTGCGCACCCTTCTAATAAAATGTTTTACTGAATACAGATACACCTTGTCTCACTCCGGGCTCGGCCGCCGTCGTGAGTGGGTTACTGTACGGTTTGTTTACAGCGGCTGGTGACGAAAAATATTGATCGCTGTAGAAATACAAAATATTCCAAAAACTAAATTTGATACATACTTGACCAAGGTAATATATTATTGTTACGAGCTTGAGGTTCGTGACAATAAAAATTGCCGATAGAATTACCTAAATTAACACTTTAATTTTCTTTACACCAATTAAAACTTAAAACACTAATAATTAATCACACTGATTCACTTTATTCCGCTCCGAAGCTCCGCTTGTCTCGCCAAATTCAATACTTCCCCGATCGCGTATTGCAGCGCCTTTATATAGGGCTCTTCCACGAATACATCCAGAATATTCAAGTAAATACGCGCGCCAACCGACCAACACAACTTATTCGCGCAACACTGCCCCCTCCTAAGACATGCTCGTCCCGAGCATTATCGGCCCCATAATAACGCGCCAAGCGATCCACATGGACGATCTTAGGAGTCCCTCTTGCGCCTTTCTGTATCCCGTAGGTTACATCGTTGATCCTGGTTACAATCCGGTACGGGCCGTCCCATTTAGCTTGAAGCTTAGGAGATTTCCCTTTGCTGCGGATTGGATTGTGCAACCACACTAGTGAACCTTCGTCGACCCTTTATTGTTCATTTTGCGGTCGTACCGGGTTTTCATTTTCTCAGACATCATTCTCTTTTCTCATAAATGTCATTCATTTTGTTCCGCAAGTCATTTGCATAATCGGTTATACTGCGTGGGGCATCAGGTGGTATCCCGGTGATCAGGTCTGCGGGCAGCCGTAATTCTCTTCCAAAGTTTGCGAAAGGTGGTGTCACTGCTGTATTTTCGTGAACAGAACTTCGATATGACAACAAAAACGGTTGTATGTGCTTGTCCCAATCTCGTTGCCGATTGTCTACAACTTTTGCTAGGTACCTCTCCAATGTCTGATTAAATCGTTCTACCATTCCATCAGATTGCGGGTGATAAGAAGTCGTTCTTGTTTTATGAGTACTCATAACTCGGCAAGTCTCCTAGAATATTTGAGACTCAAAATTCCTTCCTTGATCGCTGTGAATCTCTAAAGGTACTCCAAAACGACAGAAGACTTCATGAACTAGTTTATCTGCAACTGTTGAAGCTTCTTGATTTCGAATGGCGAAGACTTCTGGCCACTTAGTGAAGTAATCTATCACAACCATGAAATACTTGTTACCGCTTTCACTCTCCGGAAACGGCCCCGCCACGTCAATGGCTATTCTCTCCCATGGTGCACCAACATTGTACAACTTCAATGCACCTCTACTAAGGGTCTGAGGTCCCTTTACAGCCGCACAACTTGTACATTTGCGACACCAGTCCTCGACATCGTTTCGACAGTGGACCCAATATAATCGTTCTCGGGTCTTCAGTAGAGTTCGTTTAACTCCTAGATGGCCTCCTGAACAATCATTATGGTACAGCTGTAGAACATCCGGTACTTTAGCTTTAGGGACAACCATTTGCAAATGACAGCTGTCTCCCCGAACATTTTCCCATTTACGGCACAGAACTCCATCCTGAAGCAGCAAGCTGTCCCACTGGGCCCAATAGCTTTTAGTGGTCAAACTCATCGCTAAGACGTCGCTCCACTTGGGCTTGGGAGCACTGGCCTTTATCCATTCCAGAATCGGCTTGATGTCCGGATCTTCCTGCTGTGCATGTAGTAAGCTGTCCTTCCATTCGTTGCTGAGGTGATCTGTCCTGAGCATCCTCACGGATACCTCTTCCTTACTCTCTTGCCTAGTACAATGGTTGCAATCTTCAGGACAAGGTCCTCTTGACAATGCATCTGCGTTGCCGTGAGATTTTCCGCTGCGATGTTCGATAGTAAAGTCGTATCTCGGCTGCTGCTTGGCGGTGATGTTAGCCGCACTTCCCTTCTGAGATCGTTCACCTTCCCTTTCTAGGGTTCGCTTAGGGCAGCTGGATCGAAGATGGCCCCTTTCCCCACAACCATAGCACATAGGGCTGTATCCTTTATTGTGGTCGCGAACCGTAACTGCTGCAACCTCCCTAGCGCGAGGGGAACGACGATCTTGCCACCGCCAGGCGGTGCCGTTAACTGCACTACCCTCTCGAGATCGATCAACTCTCCTTTCTACAGTTCGCTTAGGGCAGCTGGATCGACGATGGCCCTTTTCCTCACAGCCATAGCACCTAGGGCTGTATCCTTTGTTGCGGTCGCGAACTGTAGCTACTGCAACTTCCCTGACGCGATGGGAACGACGATCCTGCCGCACGGCTTCCACCTCCAGTGCATGGGCCAAGGCGTCCTTAAGCGTCTCGTGGTGCCCGAGCCTCACAGCAGCTCTGACTTCCAGGTCGCGGATGCCATCGATGAATGTCTACACCAGGTTCCCTTCAATGGACGCAGGTACAGACACCGGTATGCTTTTCGCACCAGCTTCTCCACCTCTAGAGCCCACTGCTGCAGGTTTTCGTTGATGCGCTGCACGCGATCTTTAAGCTGCGCACGAAAGACGTGTTCCAGGTGAGCGTCGCCATATCTCGCCTCCAATGCCTCAAGGAGTTGCTCATAAGTCACTTCCTCACCGAGAGCTTCCATAATTGTTAAGGCCTGGTCGCGCAGGCCTAGTGTGAGAGCAGTCATGGCCTGAATTTTATTCCAGCCGTTCGCCTTCATAACAGCCTCGAACTGTATTTTGTAGGCTAACCAGGAAGAAGTACCGTCGAACGGTGGTACCTTGAACCCACGTAGCGAAGGTGTAGTAGCTACTGCGGGGGCTGCAATTCCATCTCCAAGTTTGAGTTCATCCAGCGTTTTCTTAACTTGGTTGATTTGGGTCTCAGCTTCCGACAGGCGGTTATCATGTTGAGCAACCTTATCCTTCACCTCCCTTATCTCTTTCCCGAAGGTAGCGTGAAGGTCCTTCATGAGAAGCATCTGCTCTTCCCTATCGCGTTTGAGCTGCTCTTCTAAGCGACGGGCCTGTTCCTCCTGTCGGCGGGCCTGTTCCTCCTGCTGCTCTTTCAACTGACTGGCCTGTTTCTCCTGTCCGCGCTTCAGCTGCTCTTCGAACCGACGAGCCTGTTCCTGCAGCATTACCATCAGAGCGCCTAAATCAGGTGCTGCAGATGCAGGAGCTACTGACGGACCGGCCTCCGGTGCCGGCGGCTGGCCCTCCGACGTCTGCGGCGTTGCACCACCAAATCTTCTCTGGTCCGTCTCGTGCTGGCGTTGAATGCGGGTACGAACACCCTCCCTTTCCTCCTTAGGTAAAATCGGCATGATTTGCGCTGTTGGTTGAAAGACTAGTCATGTATTTTCTGGAAATCTCTCCTCGCTCTGTTGCACGATACCAGATGGCGCCAGTGCCATCGTCTTATTCGCGCAACATTATTATTATTTTTATAATCACAGATTTTCATCACAATATATTGTTTCGCTAAAAATACGTAGGATTAATGTATAAATATACTTGTACGTCTTGGACCAATCGCCGTAGAAATACAAAATATTCCAAAAACTAAACTTGATACATAATTGACCAAGGTACGATATTATTTTTATAATCACAGATTTTCATCACAATATATTATTTCGCTAAAAGTATGTAGGATTAATGTATAAATATACTTGTACGTCTTGGACTATATGCAGTAACCTGAAGGTCTACTTTGGTGAATGCTAAATTAAAATTCAGTTTATGACTAGATGAAAAACTTTTTGAAAATGAAATAAAGTTGATGAGAAAAAAGATTATTAACGAGTCAGGTAAAAAAAAACTAGTTTTTACGATAATGTCTTGGTACAACTAAAAATTAAAGTATTATTTAAGTAGATTTTTTTATCGCTTTAAGATAATTCTGTTAAAAGTTTTCAATTAAGAATAATATATTTTAAAAAATCTGAATAATAATAAATAATGTAGTAAAATTAAAAAAAATATATTTTCTATTGTTAATTGAGCACTTTTTCTAAATTTTTTCACGATCATATGTGAGCATTATGTGTCATGCACTTTTGGGATTTTCTAAACTTTTTTTTATTGACGTTTGACATAAAATTATCGAAAAATTTGAAGTGACAGTAACAAGGTTATTTGTGAAAACTTGTGTGTATTTAAAATACTTTAAAAAAATGACGCGATAACATGAGCGCTTAAGGTAATTAAAGTAAATCATTAGAATCAATCATTAGAAAAATAGTAGTTGCATGTGTTTGTGTCTATGGTCGTTTCATTGGCGATTACCTTGGCCAGTATGAGGTGGAGCTCGAGCTCGACGAAGCGCTTGCCGGGACACATGCGGCGGCCACGACCGAAGGGTGCGACCAGCGCGGCGGCATGCGGCTCGCGCACGTTGCTCCAGCGCTCCGGCAGGTACTCGTGCGCGCGCCAGAAGTTCTCCTCGCGGCGGCACGCTGCACCCGTGTGCGCCAGCACGAACGTCTGCAAGAAAACACAACTGTGTAGTTGTTAACAACAGAGAATAGGCTTTATTTACACAAATTTCTAGTTAAAACGGTGGACTAATGCAACAAGGCATTCACTGCCAGTCTACCTCCAGACTAAGCAAATATTTGTTGCGCTTAAAACAGAGCGTTTTACCACCTAGTGCCTCATTACCGCTTACCATTAAGTGGGTAATGAATTCAAATTTAGATTCAAGTTGAAGACACTGACTTATAATAAGTAAAAACATAACATAAACCACAACTAGTTTATTTTAACGACCCTAACAACGTTTCTTAACGTTGTTCATTGTAGTGCAACCGTTATTATTTCAGTCGTCGGTCAAATCATTTTTGTCTCTCGCTCGCACTCGTTAGGCTCATGAAGCGCAATAGTGATGTGCCATAGTAATACTGACGGGTATATACCGATAAATTGCAACGTGATTTTCAATTAAGTAGGAAGAATAGTTCTAACATACAGTCTGAGTTTATACGCTTACGAGTATATCACATTTCAATTTCTTGAATTCCACGGTAGCGAATTAATTTTCCATCCTATGCCACTACGAGTATCTACTATGTGAGAAAAGGAAATATGGTGACAGAAAGCTATAACAATAGTGAAGGTTGTACCCACTAGATACTTTATTTACAACCACAACCAATAAGTGATCAGCGTGCGTAATAAGGGTCACTATGACCCACAGGAGATGAATAACAAAATAATTTAAAACTAAATGACTCTTGTACCACGCGTAAATCAAATTTCCAACATTTCGTAAATAAAAGAAATCTCATGAGAGGACCAGCAGTTAACTTTAGGTTGATGATGGAAATTAAGATGAAGATTATTTTAGAAAACAATGTTTAACCACGCACCCCAGCTGGTAAGCGATGACCGGCGATTGTCATGGGTGCTTCTAGTAACCTCGCGAGGAATGGTGCAGTTGGAAGCAATCTGAATGCCTCATTGGTAGCTGCTCGTATTGAAGATGCGGCCGCCAACTCCTCAACTCGAAGCTCTCCACAAGATGGTAATTCCGAGCGTATTTTCTGCTGCCAGTCTGGTCGACCACTTAATAAGTATAGCAGAAACACCAAGCTGTTTGCCAACTGCCGAAAAACAACAAAATACTGTTTACATTTTGCTTCTTACTTAACTTCTAAAATATGGTTAAATGTTTAGTAATACCGGATGACATGTACCTACTCGTAAGGAAAAAATAGGGTATAACGGATGAAAGGAATAGCCAATGACATAAATAATTTTCATTTTGTTTAAATTAAGCATTAATTTACGGCAAACAAATCAGGAGATGGCCAGCAGCGTCTTCCAAATAACGACTAAAATTAAAAAAACTGCGGTTGCGATCCGTTTTCCAGCAACCCGCAAGCGTGGCAACTATAGCAAATATCTCCCTTATGAGACAATCTAAGGGGGAGGTCTACGTCCAGCAGTGTAATTTAATAGGCTGTAACGGTAATGGTAAGTTTAAATTAAAAAGAAAACCGATGATTTGTAATGTCCTTGTCCTTGGACCGCCCGATAGGTAAAAAGTTTACTTGAAGTAAACCAGTCCAATATTAGTAGTAGGTATTTATTGATAGATCAATTTGATAAAATATCATAGTAGTAATAAATATCTAAGATATAGGCTTCTACTTCGTTCACTTATTGCAACCTATTTTCACTTACGGTACAAAGTCACACCAAGGCACCAAGCTAGAACAGTCTCACATATATAGCCGTCTGAACTTAGCCGACTTTATAAAGAGTAAGCCTACAGTTCGGCTGTATATTTTGTATGTACTTATATTATGCTATGTCTTTGTTTATGGACCAGTTTTGATGATATTTATTTAGTATATTGTTGCGCACCATAATTAATGCCTGGTACATGGCGCTAGCGCCATCTAGTATCGAGTAGAAGAACTAAGCTTTCTAGAAAATTCCATGGTAGAACTTTCTACACCCAGTCGTTCGTAGATCGGGACCGGTATGTGCTTAAACATTCTAGATGTTTCAGTGGAAAAGCCCTTTATTAGGCCGGTTTAGACCGCGACCCGAGTCAGTATTGAATTGGCGATTCAAGCGAATACTTCGAAGCGGTATAACTGCGATGTAAAGTATTAAGTGTGATTAATTATTATTAGTGTGTTTTAAGTTATAATTGCAGTTCGGTATTAAAGTGTCAATTTTGGTAATTCAATCGGCAGTTTTTATTGTCATAAGCTCGTAACAATATATACTATATATACTTCAGGAGTGGTCCCACAGGAAAAATTCTACCCCCAAGGGTAGCAAAAGAGGGGATGAAATTTTTAATGTAACTAGACGCCAGACTTAATGTATTTAGACGTCATCGATATTGTGATATTATGTTACTTATTGCAGTCAAAAGAGTAAGAAGTTAACTTACATAACTTACTAAAAATGATTAGTTTTTATTTAAATAAGTAATTTAACTTTTAATAAAAATTGAAAGCTTACTTCAAATAGCTAAAAAAATATAATAATTTCACATTCTAAAATAATTTCACACTCTAAACTCTTCTATAAGCCTACTGACTGCTAACGCTTAGTAGGTACTGACTGCAGAATGTGAAATTATTCTTATCTTATCTATCATTTTCATTAAAAGTTAAATTATTTAAATTTAAAAAACCAATAATATAATAATATTTTTATTATAGGTTTTACCTAGGACTGGCTCACAAATGAGCTTGAAAGCCTTCCTTTTAAGGCGAAGGTTTTATTTTCACCACGTGGGCTTACGATTGCCTCTGTATCCGAAAATGCATCTACTGCTTAATTCCAAGAATGCCGCAAATATAAACCGTGGCTTTAAAAGTAATGCAACATTTCGCACAAGAAGACTATTCTCCATTACAAGGCAATTACATTATCAGTTCTTTTTAAGTCAAATTAACATCGTTAGTATGTAGAAAGAGGAAGTAAATATATTTAAATATGGTCGGGTTCTTACCGTCTCAATGCCAGCGGTGATAAAGTCGATGACAGCGGCCTTCTTGTCGCGCATGTCGAGTTCAGGGTTTGCTAAAATATTGAGGAAGATTTGGCGCATGCCGTCGTCTTGAGCAGCGCCCGCCGTGCGCGACATCGCCTCATCCATGAGCTCCGATATTATCCTGTCGGGAAATATATGGTTTTGGTACTGACATTAAAAGAAAAATACAAATTTTAAAAGGCAAAAGTAAACCAATGAAATTGGTGTAACTGAACCCACTACCCCATATCACACCGTAGGTGTTGCAAGATAGGACAGAGAAAAATATAAATTTAAAAGGGCAAAAGTAAAGCAATGAAATCGGTGTAACTGAACCTACTACCCCATATCACACCGTAGGTGTTGTAAGATCGTACAGAGAAAAATACAAATTTAAAAAGACAAAAGTAAAGCAATGAAATTGGTATAACTGAACCTACTACCCCATATCACACCGTAGCTGTTGTAAGATCGGATAGAGGAAAATACAAATTTAAAAAGACAAAAGTAAAGCAATGAAATTGGTGTGACTGAACCCCATATCATTCCGAAGGTGCCGCAAGATCGGACAGCGGAAAATGCAATATAAGATAGACACCAGCATCTTCCCGATTACATCCTAAAATAATAAAAAAATTGCGTTTGCAACCCGCCTGGTTATCGATTGCGGTATGGTGCAATCTATGTAGGGGATAGGGTTCAGTAGTGGATTTTAATAGACTTTTTTGGAACGGATGGCTGGAGTTTAAAAATATGTTTTTAGAGCCACGCTGCAGCTATATTATGGTTTTAGCACGAATGTGTCGGCTCGAGCGGGGTAGGACGACGCTTTCACAGAATACCGACGTAAAATAGTAGCTTAATGCTGCTGTGTTTCGCATGGTGAGTATAGAGAATCGTAGACCCTTTTTACTGGAAACGAGGTATCCTATCTTAGTCCTCGGGAGTGATAACGCATTTGCAATTTGATTCCTAATCGAGGATAAATCTAGAGGTCTATGGACCACACCATCCACTTGTCATCAGGTGGACTGTGTGCTCGTTTGTCACCCTTGTTCAATTTTTTTAAATACCTATGATCATCTACAAAACGCTACTACAGAAAAGGCCCTGCGGTCTGGTTAGATACCACACGCTTACTTATTTCTGCCGCCAGGTAGCAGTACTGTACTGCTGCGTTCTGGTTTGATTGTTAAAAAGAGCCAAGAGTCTCACGACCTTACAGGAGGAGACAACGCATCTGTAGCCCTCTTTGTTTGAAGCTGGCTGAAACTGTCGATGGTCTGCATTCACCACTTACCATCATTAGACTGTTAGTTCGTTTATCACTTCAGTTTTACAACAATAAAACACGATGTTGACAAACGAAGATTTAACGACCGACTTACCAGGGTGTTTTTTTCTTAAAGATAGGGTGACAAACGAAAACACAGTCCGCCTGATGGTAAGTGGTTACTGTGGCCCATAGACATCTACATCTATCCTCGATTACGAATCAAAATGCGGGTGTGTTGTCACCCGTGAAGACTAAGATGGAATGCGTTGTTTCCAGTAAAAAGGTCTCCGGTTATCTATACTCACCATACGAAACACAGCAATATTAAGCTACTTTTTTACTCTTATAATCTGTGGGAGCGTGGTCCTTTCCCGGTCGAGCCGACCCATTCGTGCTACAAATATACTACTAACATAATTGCAATATGGCTCTACCACGTAGAAAATAAAAAGTTAGTGGTCTGATAAGTTTCCAACCTCAACGTGAAGATGGCAGCACTTGTCAACAAAAGCTAGGGGATGTTGTTGTGCATGTTTTGAAAGTTACGCGCCAAAATTTCAGCTATTTTGGAAGCGCAGTTGTTTTTTGACAGCCGTTTGAGTCAGCCGATGTGAGAAAAAATTTGAAAATGGAAAAAATTTAGTATCGACCTGTCATTACTAAAAGTATCGGGAGTAGAATATTTCCACTGTTCCTGTCATATTAATATCTTTTTAATTGAAAACTTCTTGGTTTTAAAAATCGAATACCATTTATTTATTTAAAAAAAGATTCTCGGTCTTGTCACAAGGTTTTGTCAAACTTGTTCAGTCGTTTAGAAAATGGAATTGACTCGAGAAAATTCAAGAGCGATGATTTATTATGACTTTCGAAGTGGTTTTACACAAAAACAGTGTGTTGACCGGATGATTTCTGCATTTGGTGATGAAGCCCCATCCAAAACCAAAATTTATCGCTGGTTTGCTGAATTTAAACGTTGACGTGTCAAGCTCAGTGATGATCTCCGTCAAGGTCGTCCAAAAACTGCAGTCACCCAAGAAAACGTTGATGCTGTGCGTAAGCGGATTGAGGAAGATCGACATGTGACATACCGCGAAATTCAGGCAACTTTAGACATTGGCATGAGTCAAATACAAATAATCTTGCATGAACAATTAGGTGTAAAAAAGTTGTTTTCCCGATGAATACCGCATTCGCTCTGTGAAGAGCAAAAAGCGGCTCGCTTTACTTGGTGCGTCAGAACTCTCGAAAAATTCCACGCAGGATCCTCAAATACTGTATACAACATCGTATCAGGTGATGAATCCTGGATATATGCGTACGAACCCGAAACAAAAAAACCAGTCACGAGTTTGGGTGTTCGAAAATGAGTTAAAGCCAACAAAAATTGTTCGTTCACGGAGTGTTGCAAAAAAAATGGTGGCCACGTTTGTCTCAAAAACCGGCCATGTTACGATTATTCCTCTTGAGGGACAAAGAACGATTAATGCAGAATGGTATATTAGCATTTGTTTGCCACAAGTCGTTTCTGAACTCCGTAAAGAGAACTCCAACCGCCGCATCATCCTCCATCACGACAATGCGAGTTCTCACACCGCACACAGAACAAGAGTTTTTAGAGCAAGAAAACATAGAATTATTAGACCATCCGCCGTACAGCTCCGACCTAAGCCCTAATGATTTCTATTCTTTCCCTAAAATAAAGAGTAAATTGCGTGAACAGAGATTTTCATCACCTGAAGAAGCTGTGGAAGCCTACAAAACGGCCATTTTGGGGAATGGAATGGTTGCTTCAATGATTGGTTCCATCGTATGGAAAAATCTGTCAAATTTCGCGGAGAATACTTCGAAAAGCAATAAATACATTTTTAAATAGTAATGTGTCACTTCCTTGATTTCCGAAAGTTTCAGTGCCGCCCTCGTAATCATCCGATCTAGACCCAAGCGGCTTCTTTTTGTTCCCTAATCTAAAAATTGCGCTCGGAGGACAGAGATATTCGTGAACATTTATTTTGCTGAGAAAAACAATATCAAAGCTTAAATCTGCTCTCTTTCAAAGTAGCCAAACTTTATATCTGAATAATCTAGTTGTGAATTAGCTAGTAGTGAATAATCTAGTTACCCATCTCTGAAAATGTTGCAGCACTCAATTCGCTAATTGAATCTGAATTAAATTTGTCAGTGTTATAATAATCATATTTTTAACATAGGTTTTTTTCTCTCTTTACCTTAATTGCACACGAAATGTTAACTAGTTACCTCATCTTAGAACTTAGTGTATTAATAAATAAATAAATTTATAATGTCCTTTAGTCCTAAAAGTAGTTCAATTAGTTTAAAATATTGTAAAAGTTTAGTTCAAGGCACTATAGGTCTTTCGTTATATTATTATTTATCCATGTTACTATCTATTTACATGACTGTTTGTTGCCTTAAATAAATTAAAAAAAAAACGCCGAGTACTATTTGGACGGGTTAGAGAGATGGGAGCATCGCTGGGGAAAGCGTGTAGAGTTACAAGGAGACTATGTAGAATTTTTTTTAAGAAAGAATGTGTTGTTATCATTGTTAGTTCGGAAACTTTTCAGACCAGCCATATATCAGAAATAATTTAATAGTTTTGACTGACTACTAATTGAAAGCAGTGTCACCAGTGCTAGTGTATTGCTTCTACACTTTCTTACCTTTTTTATCGTGGGGAAATCCTCATACTGGCTTGTGGCCTCAACGGATCTTTTTGACTTCGATCTTTGGTCTTTTTTACTGATGATTGACCTTCTCTCGCACTCTTGGAACCACGTCCAGGGGACAGCACTTACTGCCCCCAGCACCCTCGCAAAGCTATCATGGTGTCTCGAGACCACTTCCGAGTCACCGTTTTCATCAGGGGTTTAATTAAAACTATTTTTGACGGATTTTATGGCGTATATCAAATTATTTTATATTCCCGACGTTTCGAGCACTTTACAGCAACCGTGGTACGGGGGGGGGGGGGGATTGAGGTGTTCGACGTCCATTGTCATAGTTAACCAAAGCTACCTTTAGATAAAATTATTAATCTTTGATCAGATCTACGCAGTATGGATTTAAAGTATCTTGAATTCTTGCAGTTGTATGCTTTGATTTAATTTTATTAATTATAAGATCCTAAGCAGATGGTAAAACCCAGCCATCTTTTCTATTAAAATTAGGATGTTTTTTGATTTCAATAGTGTTATAAATCATCCTTGGTAGAAATTGGTGTCATTTAGCGAGGATGTGGTCTTTCAAATCTGATGTAGTGTCGGGGGCAATCCAGTACGTGTTCACAGACTGCAGACTTCCCGGAGCGTCGATTCAACAGGAGTCCCCGCCTACTGACTGGCCCAGCATGGCGAATGTAAGTAAATTTTCAAAGTGACACCTGCCAGCTGGAGAGCTTTTCGAAAGGACGGCGTTCAGACTAAAAGAATTGTTGATGTTATGATGTGTGGTAAACAAATGTGCCTTACGTATGTATTGTTTCCTCGCTTCTTACAAAGGTCTTATACAGCGAGGTGGGCGCAAACTTCCAGATCGGCGCACCGTAGTATGAGTCCCTTTGGGCCCTGAAGTGAGCCTTTACTGCGGAAGCCAACGCCGCGGCTCGCCCGGACATCCAACGCTCCAAAAATCCCAACCTCGTGCCCAGCATCAAACCGCATACAGCTAGAAAGATAATTAATGTACTAAATATAATGTGTTCAGCAACAAATAAATAGATTTAGTTTAGTTTTATACGTGGTGGAGCCACGTTGCAGCTAAACTAAGGATGTAGCACGAATGTTTTGGCTCGAAGGACCATGCACTCACTGATTACCAGCGTAAAATAGCAGCTTAATGCTTAAAGAATGGATTAATGCTAATGTATTTTCTATGGAGAGTGTAGAGAACCAAAGACACTTTTCACTGGAAGCGATGCATTTCATCCTAATTATTAGGGATGACAGTGCATCTGCATATTGATTCCTAATCAAGAATATCTATAGGTCATAGCATCCACTTACTATCAGGTGGACTGTGTGCTCATTAAGTATTAAAATTTAATATATTATACGATATTAATCTTATATATATATTAGCAATAAAATTTCGCATCCAAAGTGCCTTCAGGGCTTAGACAAAATAATAGAATTTAAGCCTTTTAATGTGCCATACTGTAGAAGGTTTCGTAACAGATAAAGTTTTACTCAAAGCAACTTATAAAAGGTAGATACTAGAATCTTTTAATGGTTGTGTGTATAACCTACGGAATGTATAAATTTATATAGCTTCGTTCTTTCGTTAGTGTCATAAATTTCATCAAAAGCAGATAGCAAATTTTTAAAATATCATCAATTGAAAATTCTTAGAGTTAGTAAGCTAGTTATAGAGCAAGGAAGCGTCTGCCGCGCTGCCCTTACGCGTTTTGGCGCGTGCGCGATTTTTTTTTAATTTCTTGGGTTTGCAGTTTTCCTCTTGAATATTTATTTTTAAACATCGCCGAGTACATGATAAATCATCCAATAATTTAAATCAGCACTTAAAATTACAATTATTATTATTTAATATGTTTTTACGTGCAGACGAGCATTATATCACCGATCTACCGATGCTGTGTAGTAGCTATATAAGAGAATCCACTTACCTATGTTATCATCCCATGAGGCATCGTAAGAGGCAACAGACAGAAACTAAAACAATTGATGAACAACAGCGTATTTAGACATGTGTCAATCATTCATTTCTCGTGATCGAATCATTCTAGTAGTACATTTCGTCACGCGTACCGGTACATTCGGATCGATCATTCAAATGGATTATTTTGGGCTCCAGTACCCTACACTAAAAACAATTCCCATTCAAGGTTCAAATTCAAGGTTTTAGACCCATTCACAATTCACACCAATCACTAGTTAAAAGGGTTCCGTTCAATCAATTGTTTGTGATTAGTTGTACCGGAACATTCAAAAACAGATGAATGAACCATCAATGCTTTTAAGTGTACCAGCTCAAACGAACAAATCATCTATGATTGACACATCTCTAAGCGTGTTCCTGATAGAAACTTCAAAAACTAAAAGAATCTGCGGTTGGTAACCCGCCTGCCAAGCGTGGAAATATGGGAAATATCCAGGGAGGGAGGCAGATGATCTTTGATAGGTTGTGAAGAAAGAATGAATGAACAATTTAAGTTTTCCCCAAATACTAGAAACTTTTCTTCCGTTGTGAAGGTACATACATAAATTGCCCAACAGACAAACATCCAGACCCGTTACAATTAATGCGTCGCGTCGCAGCCAAACCCTAAAAACGATTCTAGAATCTATTACGAGTACTTAGTATTAAAAGCCTTACAATGATCGTATTGAAAGCAACACTCAGGGCAAAGCAGCGGAACTGTATATTACATTGGAATTGTTTATTAATTAATATAATTACACTATTATTGATTGCACTGCATTTCACATGTTTTATATATATATATATATTGTTTTTTTTTTTTTTTTTTTTTTTTTTTTTTTTTTTTATTGTGGTTTACGTTACTTTGCCGAAATCCTTGATATTGAGGAAGATAAAATCCAACCTTTACATTAATTCCATAATAACTTCTTGTATTCCATATTATATTTTCTAAATCTCGCCAAGTGTCAAGTTCATGCAGAAGTAAACCATAAATCCATACAAGAGAACTGATTCCTGTCAAGGATTATTCACGGGGTTATTGAAATTGCACACACAATTTCTAACAATGAAGTTAGTTGGGTGCTACCAATTGCTTGGAATACCATAACTAAATAGATTAAATCAAAACCTAAGCATACCACTGCAAGACTTCAAGATGGTTGATTGGATCGAAAATTTATATTTAAAAACTGAAGGTAGCCTGGGTTAACTGTAACATCAGGATATCACATGCTTATTGATGCTAGATTGGACCAAATGTTAATATTTAATTAATGAAGGTAGCCCGGGTTAACAATAACATCAGGATATCACACTCTTACTTATGCTAGATTGGACTAATAAAAATTAATAATTAAAAGCCGTTGATCGATGTACCGATGGCGCCCTCAAAACTTTTCACTATCGAGCACAGGCTGCTTGATTATTCACATTACTTATTTTATATATATATATATATATATATATATATATATATATATCAATTAAAGAAGCGATCGAGCGGAACCAGGGCTCCAAAGTCTTTGCCAGAGATCTGTCTGCCAGAAAGAGCCAACTGTCAAAGCTGAAGACTGAGTGTGGCAGCATCGTTTCCGGGACACCTGAGATTTCGAGTGAGATTGAGAGGTTCTATGGGCAGCTGTACACATCATCGTTGGAGCCACACGCAAGTGTGAGTAACGATCCAAGAGCAAGTCTTATCCGACACTATTCCGATGATATCCCGGACGTCAGTCTAAGCGAGATTAGAATGGCTCTCCAGCACCTTAAAAACGCCAGGGCCCCAGGCGAGGATGGAATTACAGCGGAGCTTCTGAAAGCGGGTGGAACACCGGTACTTGAAGTCCTTCAGAAGCTCTTAAATTCCGTCCTCCATGGTGGCACTACTCCAGAGGCGTGGAGCAGAAGTGCGGTGGTCTTGTTCTTTAAGAAAGGCGACAACGCTCTCTTGAAGAACTACAGACCGATTTCCCTTCTGAGCCGCGTCTACGTGCTGTTTTCGAGAGTCATTACGAATCGTCTCGCACGCAGACTCGACGACTTCCAGCCTCCCGAACAAGCCGGTTTCCGAAAAGGCTTCAGTACCATAGACCACATACATACCCTGCGGCAGATTGTACAGAAGACTGAAGAGTACAATTTGCCACTTTGCCTGGCGTATGTGGATTATGAGAAAGCCTTTGATTCCGTCGAAATTTGGGCGGTGCTACAGTCCCTTCAACGGTGCCAAGTTGACTGTCGGTATATCGAAGTGCTGAAGTGTTTGTACAGTAGGGCTACGATGGCTATCCGAGTACAGAACCAGAGCTCGAAACCTATCCAACTGCAGAGAGGTGTAAGACAGGGTGACGTTATATCCCCGAAACTCTTCACCGCTGCTTTGGAAGACGTTTTCAAGCTACTGGACTGGAAAGGATACGGTATTAACATCAATGGCGAGTACATCACTCACCTTCGATTTGCCGACGATATAGTCCTTATGGCAGAATCGCTGGAGGACTTAAGCACTATGCTCAATGACCTCAATAGTGCCTCCCAACGGATAGGTCTTAAGATGAACATGGACAAAACAAAGATTATGTTTAATGTCCATGTCACACCTATGCCGGTAGTTGTTGGGAGCACTATGCTCGAAGTTGTTGACGAGTTTACCTGGGACAAATATTCCGACTAGGTAAGTCCAACTTCGACCGAGAGGTCAATCGACGGATTCAACTCGGCTGGGCAGCGTTCGGGAAATTACGACATATCTTCTCGTCAGGTATACCTCAATCTCTGAAAACTAAAGTGTACAACCAGTGCGTGTTGCCAGTGATGACTTACGGATCAGAGACGTGGTCCCTCACTGCTGGCCGTATGAGGACGCTCAAGGTCGCTCAGCGAGCTATGGAGAGTTCTCTGCGTGATAGACTCAGAAATAAGGATATCCGCAGTAAAACCAGATTGACCGACATAGCCCAACGGATTAGTAAGCTGAAGTGGCAATGGGCCGGCCATATAGCTCGAAGAACCGATAACCGATGGGGAAGAAAGGTTCTCGAGTGGCAGCCTCGTACCGGTAGGCGTAGTGTAGGGCGACCCCCCACTAGATGGAGTGACGACCTGGTAAGATATGCAGGAAGTCGATGGATGCAGGTGGCTCAGGACCGTGCTTTGTGGTATTACTTGGGGGAGGCCTATGTTCAGCAGTGGACTTGTGAAGGGCTGTGATGATGATGATGATGATGATATAATATATATATATATCAATTAAAAAAAGAAATTCGTTGAATTTATAATTACAGAATCACATATTACACAGAGGTGTACATTGTTTTAACATTTTTTTTGGTGGTTACATTTACAAGGTTAGATTTTACCGGAGACCCTCTTTACTGAGAAAAAGGCATTTCATCTTAGTCCTCACGGGTGACAGCGTATTTTGCATTTTGATTCGCAACCGAGGATAGATGGAGATTTTTTGATTGATTGTTGATTGATTTTTGATTGATGATTGATTTTATGATTGATGAAGATGGAATGCCTTTTCTTCAGTAAAGAGGGTCTCCGGTAAAATCTAACCTTGTAAATGTAACCACCAAATAAAATGTTAAAACAATATACACCTCTGTGTAATATGTGATTCTGTAATTATAAATTCAACGAAAGCGAACATAACTTTGATCTTTGTAAGTACAAAATCCAATGCGGCATTGCAACCCAATCCTTTTAAATTTATTCGCCTCGGGAATATCTTCACATATGGTAAAACAGGTTTAAAAATAAAAGAATAACAGAATATTTGGTTTAGGGCTACAGGACTAAAAGAAGTAATAATATATTATACATGTGTGCATGAACGTTAAACATTTTCTTCTAATTTCGATTCATGAAAGAATAGGCAAGAAGTTATTGATTTTAAAATTATTTAACCCCATGACTTGATTTAACACATCATTTGCTCTAACGCTTAAGTACAATTTCTTTATCTATTCAAGTTCGGTCTACTCAACTTATTTGAGATA